CAGAGGATGCAATATGCCTATAGCTGACAGCACCAAGATCTTTTGTCACTAAACCCGGAGGAGCTGTGTCACCTTGCAAATGACCTAAAATGACTCTGAACCTCAGCTTTCTCCTATGCAGAATCACCCACTCTGTAGGATATTGGTAAAAATTAAATAAAATGATACTAGAGCCAGGCATGATGAGGTACACCTCTAGTCACAGGTACCCCAGGAGGCTGCGGCAAGAGGATCACTTTAGGTCAGGAGTTTGAGACCAACTTGGACAACACTGTAAGAAGTCATCTTTAAAGAAAAAAAGTAGTAATATAATACCAGCAACACATTTAGCATAGAGCTTATGTTAAAGATTTTCTGACTAAGACAATGCAACACAAGGTGGTCACCTGTCTGCTGTTCCCTGTCCCACCCCAGGTGCTGCAGTCCTGAGTCTGATGTGTGGCACTCCTGGACTCACAGTGTTGGCTGCCCACTGGAAGAGGTCCTGATATAAAAGTATGAAATGAAGATGGGATATGAGGACTTTTGAGAAGCCCCCCAAGGGACTCCAACAAGAGAACTGAGGGAAACTAATCCTAAAGGATCATCCCAAGACCATCCCAAGAGAGTAGCTGCCTATATGTAAGTTTCCTGGAAGCCAGAGCAGCCCCCTTCTGCTATCACCCTCTAAACACACACACACACACACACACACACACACACACACACACACTCATTCACTCACTCATTTATTGTGGAATCTGTAGGAATGGGGAAAGAGCAGGAGGGGACACTCAGACCATTTTCAAACGAGTTACTTCAGAGAGAGGATTATCACTGGCCTAAAATAACCAGGATCTGAACATATCACCAGACAGCCCTAAACCTGAGAAAAATCAGAGCAGAATCTGCCTTTCTCCCAGAGTCCCTAAGGAAAGCAAACCAGCTTGACCCACCACCACATCATACGAGGAAATAGTGATCCCAGTGGGTACTGAGATAGAGATGCAAAGGCCACCTCTCTCTTCCCATTATGGCCAAAGGGCTGGATGAATGACCAGGCCATTTGTTGTCAGTCCATATTCTCACTAGGTTCCCAACATATCTTAAGCAGGCATTGTGTACCCCTTCACAGGTGGGGAAAGTCTTTGCTCTATGAGTCACATGGATGTAACCCACCCACAATGCATATGGCTACACATCCAGGGGAAGAGCACAGGACCTGCAGTCATCTACCATGTCAGGAACACAATAGAGGGCCACAGGGGCTGGTTTCCTTGCTTAGCACTCCCCACTCTTCTCTGGGGGATGCCTAGGCCCAGCCAGGCCCAGAGTACCCGTGAGGACAGTGTTCCCATTAAAAGGCCCTGATTCCTGCCTGCCACTCTAATTATGCACAGCAGTAATAAAGAAGCTTTCTGTCTTACCAAAGACGCCTCTTTATATGACAAGAGCGCATTCTGCCTCCACAAGATTGAGTCCTCACTCAGAGCCTTGTTGGAATCAAACAAGGAATCAAAACCTCCTCTCTTCAGAGACTGCCCAAGCCCCACCCACCTCCCTCCTCCAGTTTGGCCCACTTCTGAGCCTCTGAGTTGCTAGAAGTGGCGCTGTAGAGAGGCCAGGACATGGACACCACTCCCCACAGCTGGCATCCTTCATGGCTTGCTGACTTACATTCACTCAACACAGTGAAACATTCATTGGGCACCTGCTTGAACCCTTACTAAGAATATGGACATGAAAAATGGTTCTGGCCCTTGTTGAGAGAAAAGGCACTAAGAAAAACAGCACAGCCTTTTAGGCTCCTTGACTGATCCATATTCCAGTGCCATTTACTGGACAAGCCATTGACTTGTCCAAAGCTCTCAACTGGCTCACTGGCAAAATGGGGTAATGGTAATTAATATCAACCTGGCTGAGGAGTGAATGGGATACATACAACACAAGGGGCGCACCTAAGCTCTCAAGAAAAACTAGTTGGAAAAGAAGAAACACTATTTGGCGTCACCAGTGGTTAAATACCAGAGGTTTTGGGATTACACAGGAACATTTCAATCAGATGCATGAATCCAGGAAGGCTTCTGGAGAGGTGGCACCTGAACTAAGTTTGAAAGGATCAATAGGAGTTTGCTATACAAAGGCAAATGTCTCAGGCAGGAAGGAACTGCAGGGACACCGGGGCTCTAGCAAGTACAAGACATTGCAGGGAGAGGGCATGCACTGGGGGACATGGGAACCATCATGGAGAGGGCATAGCTGCAGAGGCTGGCATTGGCACTGTGGTAGATCCCATGGGGAGAATCCTGAATTTCTGTATCCAGAGCACCATTCTGACCTTCTCTGGGTTCCCTGCAACTGTAGCCCTTTCCTTTCCACCTGTCCTCTAATGGCCAGAGGGAATAGGGCAGCCAGCCCATCAGTCATACGCCCATTCACTCAAACACAACACAATTTTCTGGGGGCCTATGATATACCAGGCACATGCTAGGAGAGGGTGCACAATTTGCTTTGGACCCTGGGTCCAGTAGCCCAACCCTAAAATCCCTCCAGATCCTTTCCAGCTGTGCACCTCTGGGCCTATCAGCTTGGTCCTTGGTAGAATGGTGAAATAGGGGGTCACAGGGCCCTGGAATTCAACAAGTGTGATCAAGGACAAATGAATAATTCAATAATCCTAAATTGCAGCACATACTAAGTCTTCCACAAATGTCAAAATTTAAATGTTTATTTTTATTAACACTAACTGCCAGGTTGACAAAAATCCCATCTCTAAAGTCCAGTGTCAACCTCGAGGGGACCTCCAATCTCAGCCACCATTTAATCCCCTGACAGGATGGTTCAGGAGGGCTATTTAAGGAGTGAAAGACTCCTGGAACCAGACAGCCTGGGACTCAATCAAAACTTCTTAGATGTATGACCTTGGACAGGTCATTCCATTGATGTTTAAATTTCCCACCAACAAAGGGAAATCTGCTAACATCTTAAAAAGATAAATAATTCATGTTCACTGCCCATCACAGAACATGCAATTAGTATACCTCAGAAATCGATGGAGGGAGGGGGGAGTAGTCTCTCCTCTGAGATGCTATAAATATCCCCCATTTTGCAGATAAAGAAATGACCACCCAGAGAGGCAGAGTGAGTTGCCAGGAACGGCTTACTCTTCAGGTTGCTGTGTCCTAAGTCCATGCACCTGGAGTGCTCACTGGGAACCTCAAACTCAGTGGAAGGGAAAAAAATACTCCAGAACAGAGTGGGGAGCAGCGGCAGGTGGCCTGGCACACCCTGCATGTGTTTCCTCATCTTGGGTGGGACTCTCTCCCAGTCCTGGTTTCCTGTGACTGAGTGTGTATGTCCGTGTGTGAGTGTATGTGTGTGCGTGTGCATGTGTGTCGGTGAAGGAAGGAGCAGGGCACTGAATGTAATTTTCAGGGTAACAGTGTTGAGGAGTGGGTGCACATCCCTGCTGGCAATTCTGATTTGGCTGATCATATGCCCAATCTTACAAATGACACAACCACCCACTCCTTACCAGCATGAAGATACAAGAAGAAACTGGCTCACTAACTCTCAAGCTTTCAGCAAGCCTAATGCTCCCCAGGATCACCCTAAAATCCACTACCACCACCCCCAGTTTAAAGAAAAGAAGTAGGGGAAAAATGAGCCAATCCAGTTGTTGGGTGATGTTCACACAAAGCCAGCTACCAGACTACTGCACTGCCTGCGGCTGGGGAAGATCAGGAGAAGGGCAGGTTCATAGTGCGTGTTTGGGCACTGCCTGGGCTCTGCACCATTCCGCCCAGGCCTGAGCCGGGTCAGGATCCCCCAGCCCCCACACTGCGCTCCCCCACCACTGCAGTGCGCGTGGGGAGGCGCCTCCCAGATCCGCAGGAACAATGGGCTGGGGAGGGGGCAGGTGCGGCTCCGGGAGCGCAGGGGTGGGGGCGATGAGGCCACCTACAGCCAGAGAGGGACGCACGGCTAACTGGTTGCACCGCTGCAGGACTCAGTTTCCCAGGCTCTGAAGTCCCAGGCGAGCCGACAGCCTCTCTCGTGGCTGGATCTCTCTTACCTCTGTGTATTTTAATTTCATACTCGCAGGGCGGCTAGCCTAGCGTTCCAGGAAAAGCTGCCGGACCTCTCTGGGCTCCCCTGACTGCCAACGCCAAGGCCCTGCAGGTCAGGGATGTGAGGCGCCTCCTGACCCCAACTTTTCCCACTTGGATAGCACAGCAAGACTGGAATCCAGGCCGGCCCATCTCCTTCGCCGGCGAAGCTTTGATTTATAGCCCTGGGCGCCAAGAGTTGCTCCTCCTCTTTCCCCAGCCCCGTTCCTGTCCTCTCCCACTGTTCCTCCATCGAGTCCTAAACGCGCTCTCTAAAGAGACCCCGGCACATTTGCAAAATGTGTGTCAAATTTCCGCACCGGGAACACCCCCACCCCGCCCCTGGCAAGAGACCCCGAAGCTTCGTCCTTCGCAAGCCCAGAGAATCCTGCGGATGGGTGGGGATGCGAGAGAACGGGATGTCATTCAGCTGAAGCGGGCAGCCCTCACACCCACGGCATGAGTTCGACCCGAGTGGGTTGGAGGTGAAGGGACAGCTCCAAATCTCCTATTTCCCACGCCTCGCTGAGTCACGGAAATGGACCGCGGGAAAACGGCCCCCGGAGCCGAGCCGAGCCGGAGCCGGACATTCATGGGCCAGCGCTGGCATCCCCAGGACAGCGCGCAGGGATCACAGGAGATGAGGCTCTCACCCGGACTCTGGCTGGGGCCGCCAGAGTGCCCATCTAGGACTGCGGTCCGCGTAGCAATGCCCGCACCCCGGCCGGAATCGAGCACGTGACCGACCGACGGGCCACCTCTGACCCCCTGGGCCCAGGGTCTCTGGCTCCACCCTAGAGGGCAGGATGGGGCGGGGGCGCCCACTTTTCCATCGCCTGCAAGGGGCTGCAGGGCGCAGGGCCCTCCCCCGCCCTCACCGCTGCAGCCTCAGGACCCGCGCCCCGCACTTACCTCGGGACCCGGTGTCGCTGCCACCGGCCTCCTTGTCTGCCATGGTCGCTCAGTCTGGCCCGCGAGAGGAGCCTCCGGCGCAGCGACGTGCGGGTGCAGGTCTCTCCCTCTCCTCGGCGGGGTTCGGCCAAGCCTGAGCCGCCACCGGGCAGCAGGAGTACAGCTCTGACGCGGCCGCCGCAGCCCCGGCTCCTCCCCGCGCCCGGTCCCCCCCCCCCCCCCCGGCCGCACCCCGCCCCCAGACCCGCCCCCGGCCGCGCCCCGCCCTCCCGGCCCCGCCCCGCCCCGCGGAGCCCGGGCGGCCGAGACGCCAAAGGAAGCCTGCAAGGCGATCGGCCCCGCCCGAGAGCTCCGCACCCCAGCCGCCCCTCTGAGCCGGGGGCCCCTCTCCCCGAGTGCTCGGGAACCCCGAGCTTGCCGCGGCGGTGGAAGTGCAGGGGACCCAGGCTCCCGGCCCGAGCGAGGCTGGGGACTCGTTTCAGGGTTCCTGGGCCCTGCTCTAGGTCCGCTCCTGGGAAAGCACCGCGTAGCAGGGCCTGAACCCTGCAGCAAGGACCGTGCACACAACCTACTCCCCGGAAGATGCCCGCCGCTGTCCCCAGCAGTCCACACACACACCCCCACACCATCACCGCCACCCCAGGCTCCGAAATAAGAGGTCCAAGGCGAGCAGTGCGGACTCCAGCATGTCCGGGAGCCAGGATGCAGACCCAGGACCAGAGGTGGAGCTGAGCCCAGGCATCGCCTCGAGGAGTCCCCCTCCAGGTCGCCTTCGGGACTCCATGGCAACTCGAAAACCAGGGAGGCGCTTGAGGCGGAGGCTGAGTCCTGTCTTCCATATATGGCGCGGGCCCCGACCCCGGTTAGAAGTCTGAGAATAACGCCATTAATAATACATGGCTTCCGCGGTGAATGATTCATACTCTGTCCTCCAGCTCCAAGCACCCAAGTGCACTGGCACCTGGTAAGGCCTGCCTGGCCAGGCAGCTCGTGCGTCCACTGAGCCACCGCCTTATCTTGACAAGGAGCGCGATGATTAGACTCTAATGACCACGGTTATTGGGTCTTTCCTTGTTGCCCAGCGCTGCGCTGAATGCTTAAGTGCCTGTCTCCTTTCCTCCTCATCACTGTAACAGTTTGCAGATAAGGGAACAGAGGCAAAGCTTGTGAATACCCCACTGGGATCCCCACCAGCTGGTAACCACCAGCTATCTTCCTGAAAGGCACCAAGGGGCCATCAGCATGCAGCCTCGCATAGCTGATGGGGAGGGCAGGCAGCTACTGGGAGGCCCAGATCCCCAGATCTGCTCTGAAGATGATGGTAGAGCAATAAAACTTGAGCTGAGGATGTAGCTCAGTACTAAAGCACCTGCCTAGCATTCCTGAGATCTGGGTTCAGTCCCCAGCACTGCAAAATGAAAAAAAAATATTTTTTTTTTTACTTTCTGTCTGCCTTCATTAAAAATCCCATATAAATCCCTGGCTATGTGATTATGGTCAACTCATATAACCTCTCTGACCTTCAAGCTCCTCATCTGTGAAATGGGTATGATGAAAATACGATCAAAAGTCTGAAGAGCATTAGACAAAATGACGCATATAGCATGCTTACCATGGAGTCTGGCACATGGCAAGGAGTTCACAAAGCATTAGCTGTTAAGTCACAGGCATCTTTTTAGCAGCAGAACAGGGGCAACTGGGCAGGAAAGTGGCAGTCTCCACAGTATTTGAAGGTTACTCCCAGGATGTAGAATACCATGTTCCCACAGAGAGCGCTTGGCCTACCAAGGCTGCTTGATTGTTGAGAAACACCCCACCCTCTCAGAGGCTGACCCAAGGCATGGGCTCCCAGTGAGGCTCCTGGAGACCAAGAGCTCAGAGCAGCCAAACGCAGACAGGAGGAGCAGTGGAGGCAGTTATCCCAGGCAACAATTTGGCCCAGCTTCCTGCAGATGGAGAAGAGAGGGGCTAGCTGGACCCTTCGTCCACACCCAGCTGCCTCCTGCTTGGACTTGATCTCCACAACTGAAAGAATACTGGGCTGAGAGTGGGGTTCTGGTCCTGAGTGACTGGGCCAAAGCCACATGGGTTGGAAGGTGAGAGTACCAAGGTCCCATGGACGGATGCCTGGATACTGACACCAAAGTGTTATTCAGCACAGTTCTGATTGAGTCTTTTTTATGCTCAAAACTACACTGAGCTTCCCTCATCCACAAGGGAAAAGGCCTAACCCGTTAGTGAGATATTCAACACCTTGACATCAGTGAGCCCCAACCTTCCTCGGCTGTATTCTGCCCCCACCCTTCCTCTGATGTGGATGTAAGCTACTTCTGTCTCCAGTTCTTCACCCCTTTACTTCTCTCTTCTACTAGCTCACACCCAGGCATCCTTCAGGGCTGCAGTTCCTGCCCCAACCCCAGTACCCATAGTACCCTACACACCCACACACTTCTGTTTATTTCTGCCCTCACTCTGTGGCCCAAACAGCTCAGCACTCAGTAGCCTCCCCTGTTCATCTGCAGGGACACCTGCCTCCACACCCAGGGCTTGCTTCAGGTTTCCAGACCTATTAGGCATTTCTCTCGGGTATCTGGAGGTCCCTCACAACAGACTAAAGCCCAGCCTGCCCTCTATCTCTGTCAATGTGACACTGCTCACCACTGGTTGAGCCACACACCTGAGCATCTGCAAACACTTCTCCCTCAGATTTGCTCAAGGTCAGGCAATCTCCAAGTGAAGTGTGGCCCCCCAGGGCTTCAGAAACCTCCTCTCCATCCTTCCTGCTGCCATCCTTGACCAGGCACCCTGATACCTTGCTGCCCACAGATGTGTAGCAGCTTCCTCACAGGTTTTTTAAAACTCTAGTCCTACCCCACTGTCCAGTCTTTGTGACTCTGCCCTGCCCAGATCCACTGCCAGCACACACACACACACACACACACACACACACACACACACACACGCATGCACACACACATACACGCAAGCTTGTATGCACCCATGTACCTCTTCCATCCCTCTGAGCCCCCTGCCTCTTACACTGGGATTTCAGACATGGAAATGTGTTCAATGCTCCTAATCCTTCCTGCAACCTGGATAATGAGTTCTTCCTGGCAGAGACCTTCCCTGCACCCTATGACCGCCAGGATGTCCTGCTTCATCAGGGGCCTGACCCTGGGCATCAGGACATTTACTCTGACAGCTTGTCAGAACCAGCAGGACCCCTCACCCCCACCCATCTGCCTGCTGATCCAGAAAGGCCTGGAGCAACATCTGACCTCACAGGTACTCCAGCCACATGACGTGAGGCTGTGTGGCTGTGTGATGAGGATGGGAGGTGACATGCAGGCCGCAGGGCTGGGTGCAAAGAACAGACAGCTTTGATTTTCTGAACACAGAAGGCAATATATGCTCTGCCTCACATTTGCCTTTGCAGCTTTCCTGACCATCACAGAAATTAAGGAATTCTCTGCTGAGCACGTTCTGCCAGGCGGGAGGGTGCTGTCCTGGCCTCACCTAATTCCACAAGAGCAAGAAGGGAGGCACCCAGACGCTGTGCCACCTGGCCAGGCTGCCTCTGACTGTCCATAGTGGGCCAAGCCTGTCTTCATGTCACTCAACATCAAGGAAGGGCCTCACTGCCCCTTGAACTCACCTTGAGTGCTACAAGCCTTTCCCCAAGAAAATCCAGATCACACCACTCTTCTGCCCCCAGTTCTCCCATGAAGTTCCTGACGCCTCATTGATCTCTGCACTTTCAACTCTCCCTGCCCCCTACATGGCCAAAAACATATAGCTGCCCTTGTCCCCCAGGACAATCAAGGACAATCATGTGGGAGGCTGACTAGAGCAAGTTCCTTCAGGCTGTGCTCCAAAGACTCCTCTGCACAGGAATTGCTATGTGCCACAGCACCCGCCATGTAACCTCTTCTCTAACCTGAGGGTGATCAGGACCTAGGCCATGAGCCTCAGTGACAAGGACACTCACCAATTACATATCTATCTTGAACACCTGAGTCCAAAAATTAGCCCAGTCTGGTGCCAAAGAGTCATCTCCCAATTACCTTAGCCAAGTGCCTCCAGGATCAGGTCCCCAAAGAGATAATGCCTCCAATAGGAGTTTGCCCTTTTCATTTTGCCATCTAACCACCCTTTTTCCTATGAGTCTCAAGTGGAATGTCACCACCTCACCAAGCCAGTAAGAGGCCTCTCCTCTGTCCTCTCCATCCAGCTTCCCACATTCCCCTGTCATTGCATGATGAAGTCAGAATTAGTATCATCCTCATCATGCAGATGACAAAATTGAGCTCTCTGCAGCCAAGAAGATACCTCTGAGGCTAGAACGCAGGTCTTTTTCAACTTTAGGCTGCCCACTTTCCTTCTGCCTGTAAGCTCCTCAAGAAAGAGTCAGCCTTGTCCAATCGATAGCCCGAGACATCCATAATCCCAGGTAATTTAAATATTCAAGGAAATAGGCCCCTCAGCTCTAGGCATGTTCAACCCTCTCCTGGCTCCTGTTGGCCCAGCAATTCACAGACACTGCCCATCCCAGATACCACCTCCCATATTAACTCATGCACAGACATGGTCCTGACCAATCAGATACCCTGTCACCGTACTAACCACCACTTGTCAAGAGTGCCTACCACACTGGATAGGGAGAGTAGACGAGGAACCAGCTGCATTCCCAGCTAGGAAGAAACTGAAGACATTTGCTGATGGATGAGCTGCTAAGGGCAGCAGGTCCTGGAGCAAAGCAGGGCCAGTGGGAAGGAAGTAGAAAGCCTGGTGTCAGTTGGTTTCTCAGAGACCTAAAGTCAGCCAGGCCCTGGAGACCTATGGACCCAGCTCTCTGGCTCTCTTTCTTCCTCTGTAAAAAGGGTAAAGGATCCTTTAGGCAAGATCATTATGGAGATAAAACATTTAGCATTGGGCCAGGCTGTATACAATCTGCTGTATCATTATATAATGTATATATTTGGACTACAAAAATGCCTCTGCCTTGTACATTATAAGCTACAGAATAGACTGAGGGATAATTTTCTTGACTGGTAAAGACATGCAAAAGTACAATGTGATTTACTTCTTTAAAAATGTTATCAGAAAAGTGTTTATTGGAAAAAAAATTTTTTAGCTAGGCGTGGTGGTACAATGCCTGTAATCCCAGTACTCTGGGAGGCTGAGGCAAGAGGATTACAAGTCTGAATACAATCTAGGTAATTTAATTTACAGAGACTGTCTCAAAATAAAAAAGAGACTTGGGGTATATTTCAGTGTGAAAATCCTGGGTTCAGTTGCCAATATCACACATACACAAACACACACACACACACACACACACACACACACACACATACACACACACATAGAAAAAGAGAAAAGAAACTAGTTTAACCTTAGAATTTACATAGAAAGCTTCCCCTAAAAGCTACTTCAAACTTACTGATATGCTAGCAGAATTTTATGTATAAACAGAATATCATAAAATTAACAAAACCAAGAATAAAGCCTCCTATAAAAATTTACAGGGAAAGCCTGAGCAAGTATCACAGTCCTTGACTTCTGACCTTCAGTCTGTTTAAAAAAATCTAACCTTAGACACCAAACCCAATGGTCAGTGTATACACCATTTACTCCTAGCATTCCCAACCATCTGGTGTAAATCAGCTTCCCCATTAACATTCCAAAAGACACTTCACATATACAACATGTGCTGCTGAGTGACTCTTCCAAGGCAAAAAGAACTCCAGGGCCACAGGAAATTATTTCTCCA